CCTATAGAAAAAAAGACAATTTGCTAGCATTTTCCACCACTAACCAGCCTCCCAAAAAGCATCTGCAACCACCCCTTCGCCACGGCTTTAACCCATTGAGTTCTGCTCCAAACGAGCCCCAATTCCTCGGACGTTCGGTGTCAAACGGACGCTCTGGATTCCTAGAAAAAAGACAATTTGCTAGCATTTTCCACCACTAACCAGCCTCCCAAAAAGCATCTGAAACCACCCCTTCGCCGCGGCTTTAACCCATTGAGTTCTGCTCCAAACGAGCCCCAATTCCTCGGACGTTCGGTGTCAAACGGACGCTCTGGATTCCTAGAAAAAAGACAATTCGCTAGCATTTTCCACCACTAACCAGCCTCCCAATAACCAGCCTCCCAAAAAGCTTCCACCAACAGCCTGCCAAAAGCTTTCCAGCCTCCCAAAAGCATCTGAAACCACCCCTTCGCCACGGCTTTAACCCATTGAGTTCTGCTCCAAACGAGCCCCAATTCCTCGGACGTTCGATGTCAAACGGACGCTCTGGATCCCTAGAAAAAAGACAATTTGCTAGCATTTTCCACCACTAACCAACCTCCCAAAAAGCTTCCACCAATAGCCTGCCAAAAGCTTTCCAGCCTCCCAAAAGCATCTGAAACCACCCCTCCGCCACAGCTTTAACCCATTGAGTTCTGGCGGATCTATCATTATTCCCTGGCGCGCTCCCCCTTGCGTCGGCCGGGGTCGGCGGATTCTAGGCCCCAACAATCAAACAATTGCTTTGACAGAAATTTCCCATGCCACCACACACACCATTGATTGATTGATTGATTGCTTGCTTGCTTGCTTGATTGATTGATTGATTGATTGACATGTCCAACTCAAATTGTTCAACCAAACCTGGGAATTGAGTTTGCTGTGCCAGCATAGAGGTGCATCCAAAAGCTTCAGCAAGGAGCTCAATGCAGTGGGAATCAAGTTTGCATGAAACGGAGGATTTGCCAGGATTTGCCACGCTTTCACAGGAAAAGGTTGATCCTGGGGTCAAAGCCATTGAGGCCCGATGCAATCCTGTATACCCACTCAATATCTGCCTGTGCGGCAGGCCGTAGTGCAGGACCCAGCAACATATATCTTTTCTTTTAAGAAAAATCCAGCGGTCGCATTGCGGAAGACAAAGGTTGGGAACAAGCGCTGCAGCTTTTGAACGCTGCGAACCAAATCGGCGGGGCAAGTTTTGGCTTGGGTTCTGACTTTCTGATGCGCTCGCTATATACATCCTTTCCGCTTGCATCTGTTGCTTTGCATTTCCCCGTTGCAGGTTCTCTTGAGTTTCATTGGAGCTCCGCCATGAAAGCATGCCAGAAACCTAGTGACCAGATTTGCATTGACGTGAAAAAGACGTATGCAATGCACTGATTCTCTTTGCGTCTCATCTTGTAGACAGAGTGAAAGAGGTGTGGATGCCACGCAATGGGAGTCTGCCATTGCTTTGGTCCCACGGATGCGAAACGACCGCCTGGCTTGTTGGCCTCAAGCATTCAAAAGCTAGTAAAGAAACACAGAATCACACCGGGAATCGCAGCATTGTAGTTGAAATTGCCTGTTTTAAGATAGCTCGTCAAAACAAAAACATATACACATACAAATTATATGCGTACCACATGCAATATATATATATATATGTTGAAACGACACTCGTGATCTCAGGATGTCCCATCAGGTTGAGACATCGTATCATGGACGAAGGGACTCTAGGCCCAGGCCATCGGAGAAACGAAGCCCGTGCGTAGCCGATCGGAGTCGGCTGCCAATGTTTTTACATTGGTAGCGGGGCCCAGGTTAAGTCCTGAGCTCCCGCTCCATAGGATTGGAGTGCGACACTCGTGATCGCCATGGCGGCGAGTTCTGAAGGCGCTCATGGCCTTCAATACTTCTCGGGCGAATCAGAGGACGCTCGGGAATACAAACGCTGGAAACAGTGGGTCATGAACAAACTCCTGACCCTTGAAGACAAGGTGGCACCCAAGGCACGAGGTGCCTACATATATACTCTTTTGTCGGGGAAGGCATTGGAGTGTGTGGAACACCTTGACCCAGCTAGCTACCAGAAAGAAGGTGGAGAACGTGTGCTGCTGGAGCGCCTTGACAAGCGCTTTCCCCAGAAGGATGCTAGCGATGAAATGAGCGAGTCATTGACCGAGATCTTCAACCTTCGAGCTCATGACGGAGAGAACTTGAAAACCTGGATTTCGCGTGCCAGCGAGCTGTTTGAAAAGTGTGAAAGGAAAACCAATGTTTCCTTTCCTGAAGAGGCTCGCGGATGGCTGATTCTCAACAGATCTGGCCTATCAGAGGAGCAGAAAGCAGTGGTTCTGGCCAGATCCTTGGGAGTCTTGAAGCGGGAAGAAATTGGTCGCTCCATGCGCTCGTGTTACCCCGAGTTTGTCGTGAAGAAGAAACACTTGGGGGCTAGCATTGTAGAAGGGGACTTCGGTAACACTGCGCCCGAAGGTCTCAGTCCGGACGAAGATTCTGACCTGGCTCATGAAGTTGAGGCTTTTCTGGCCGACCACGACCTTCAGCCAGATGACCATGAGCCTGAGGAGATCTTCACGGAGCAAGAGGTGGCCGAAGCTTTGGCCATTTCATGGAAGGACCGCAGGAAGGAGCTTGGAAAACTCCAGCGGTCCCGCAAGTTTGGAGCTGCGACAGACCTCAAACGCAGCTACCGAGTGGAGATTGCTGAGTTGAAGCGCAAGACCAAATGTCATCGTTGTGGCATGGTTGGACATTGGTCGAAAGAATGTACTCAGCCTCGGACAACTCCTCCAGGTGCTGGTCGCAGTTCTTCGTCCAGTGGTTATGCGAAGAAGGAAACTGGTGCTGCATTTGTCTCAGAGGCCGCCGAGCTTGAGCAGGAGTACGAAGAACTCCAAGCTGGGTTAGACTTTGTGGCCATGGCGGGCGTTTGCCCGTGCTCTTTGTCGCCGTTGTCCATCCTCCGTGAGAAGCGACGCCTCATCGGTATGCTGCCTGATGAGTTGCCCCATCCAGAAGTTCTTTTGGTCAGTTCACCTGGCTTTGGAGTTTTGGACTCCGGATGTGGCAGATCAATCATTGGTCGCGATACATTGACAGAGTTTCATCAGTTGTGGCGCGCAGCCGGTGTTCCAATCCCCACGGAGATCCACGAGGTGAATCATTTTCGCTTCTGGAATGGTGAGAAGAGACCACCGAGTCAGTGATTCGTCTTCCAGTCACTCTGGGAGGCAAACAGGGCACCATCCGAACCGCCATCGTGAGGGGACAAGCTCCCTTCCTCATCTCACGCAATGCTTTACAGACATTGAAGGCAGTCATTGATTTTGGCAAGCAGCAGTTGACATTGTTTGAAGAGCAAGTGTTGGTCCCTTTGGTGACCAATGAGGCCGGTCAATTTGCAGTGAAGGTGGTTGGCTCCAGTGATCAAGTCAACTTTGAGCAAGAAGTGATGTGCAGCACCTTCACTGACAACTCAGGATCCATGCCCTCGCCGGTCTCAGAGGACCGGCCAGCTGGCTCTTCCAAGGTCGAACAGGATTCGTCGATCGACCGTTCCTTGCCAGGCGACTCGGAGTCACTTCAGTACTGGGTAAGACATGATTCCTTTTTGCAAAAGACACCCACCATAGGGAAACAAGGCCCACAATGGCAAACCGTGACCCGTCGCCGAGTTGTCGATGAAACGACAAATGCTGTTTTGTTTGATGAAATGATCGAGCCACAAAAAGGTAAGTCATACTATCATCATGTGTTGCCTTCCCAGGTTCTACACACTCGTACCGAGTTTTGGTTTCGACCACAGGAGCTTGCTTCCACGCTTGATTGTCTCCCAGTGCATTACGTTCGACAACTGAAGTCGCAACTGAGAGATTTAGATGTTCAGATGAAACAACCTCCAGAGCATGGCACTCCGGCGGATTACTCAGTTCTTCGTGTAGCTGAAGTTTTTTGCCCCCCAAGATTTGCACCGTTGGTCACTGGAATGGGAGGTGAATGTGTTTCATATGACTTGTTGACTGGATATGACATGTCCCAGGCTTCTGTACGTGATCAAGTGTCCAGGGAACTCCGCGAGACACCTCCCGATCTCTTGGTTCTGTGTCCGCCCTGTACCGACGAAGGAGGCTGGTTCAATATCAATTCGCTCAACATGACACCGCAGGAAGTGGCACACCGGGTCCGGATGAGCCGGATCTTCGTCCGTTTCTGCTGTGAGTTGTTCCGCCAGCAGGCTGAAGCCGGACGACAGGCCTTGCTCGAGCATCCCAGAGGGTCTAGGATTTGGTCATACCCAGAGATGCAAGTACTTTTGGCAGAGTATTTTCCTTTGGAGTGTGACTTATGCAGATATGGACTCCGGTTGCCCGACACAGACCGACTCATCCAAAAGCCGACTAGGCTTCTGGTTAGTCATGCCTCCATGTCCACTCTAGAAAAGAGGTGTCCCGGATCTCATCACCCTCAACACCGCTGCCATTTTCCTGTAGCTGGGTCACACCCCTCAGTTGGTCGTGTAAGTACGTTCACTGGGAAGTACACCCCAGCATTCGTGTTGGCTGTCATGAACACTGTGGAGAAGTATCGTGCCTTGGCAAAACAGGTCATGCCTGTGTGTGTTCCATGGACATTCGACCATGAACATCAAGTAATGATGGTAAAGGACGATTTGGCCCAGGATGACGACGAGGCTGTTCGTAAGGCCTTGACCCGACTTCATAAGAACCTAGGCCATCCATCACAGGCTGATCTCGTCCGACTGCTAAAGCATGCTCAGGCTTCCGAAAAGGCTATCAAGCTGGCCCGCCAGCTCAGCTGTGATTTTTGCCTTTCCCAAGGGAAACCACATACCCCACAGCCGGGGCAGACCAGCCATCCCACAGTGTTTAATCATGTGGCGGGGATGGATGTGAAGCATCTCAGGGGATGGAAACCCAACCAAACGATTAAGGCTTTGAATCTAGTTGATCACGCCAGCAACTACCAGCTAGTTCTTCCTTTTCATGAGCAAGAGACTTCTCAGGTTCTTCGACAATTGTTTGAACAACACTGGATTCGTGTTTTTGGTCCTCCCAAAGTGGTTATGATGGATCCGGCTCGCACCAATCTAGGAGAACCCATGCAAAGCCTTTTGGATTCTTTGGGTATTCATTGTAAACCAATAGCCGCTGAAGCTCATTGGCAACTGGGAAGAACCGAACGACACGGTGGCTGGTTTGGCAACGTTCTGTCAAAGCTGGTGCAAGAGCACAGTCCGGAGAGCAAGAGCGATTGGGAACAATTGGTCACACAAGCACACGTCAAGAACACCATGATTCAGAACCACGGGTTTACTCCTTTTCAGTTTGTATTTGGGCGCAATCCTGATGTACCTACAGAACTTTTGGATGAACCCTTACATGTGGTCCCGGCAACTCTTGGGTTGACAGACGAAGCGATCCGAAAGGCCCAGGAGATCAGAACCACGGCGTGCAAAGCTGTGATTGACCTCCAGAGTGACCAGTCGCTGCGTCGAGCTCTAGCAGCAAGACCTCGTGTGACCTCGTCTTTCCAAGCTGGAGATCTTGTGGCCTACTGGAGAGAGCAAAAATACCAAGGGGGTACCAAGTCTGAAAAGGGTCATGTACTTCTGGGAGGACACTGGTTTGGTACAGCTGTGGTTATGGGAAGGGTAGGCCGGAACTATGTCATCGCCCACCGCAAACAGATTTTCCGGGTAGCACCAGAACAACTCAGAGCAGCTACATCCGAAGAGAAGGCAGTACTTCAATCACCCCAAGCTGAACTACTCGGTATTAAAGATCTGTTGGAAGGAGGTACTTTTAAGAGTCACCAGTTTGTGGACTTGGTTCCGGGACATTACCCCACAGTGCAAGCAGACTCGACATCATCACAAACGCAAAGCAATATCAGACCAAGTGAGCCTGCTCCTCCAATGCCCGACGTTCCAGCAGAGAGACCACCCGTGCCAGCAGTGAGCGGGGAAGAAACCGCTGTTCCCATGGAAGTGGTTCCACCAGACAACAAGACCAGTCCAGACAAACATCAAGAAAGACTTGATGATGAAGAGGAGTTTCCTCGCTTCTCTCAAGGTGGATCCAGTTCCAGTGCCAGAGCTCCGTCAGCCGAACCAGTGTACGGCCCTGTGCGCCGTCGTGTCTCACAGAAGGCCGGTGAGGCAGCTCTGTACCGTCCACCAGCTATGAGGGAAGAGGACTTCACTGAGATGATGCGAGAGATGGTTCCTCATCTATTGGCTGATGCATTAAACATGGACACCAGTGAGCCAACCTCCAATGTGTCCCTGAAGCGAGAGCATGAAGAGCCAACCAGCGAAGAACCACCTGCCACTCGCATGCGCACCTCGACCGATCAAGACGACGAGTGCCTCTTTTTGGTTCAGAGGTCTGGAATGAGTGGTCTCCCAACCAACCAATAGAGGTGCTCATGGCTGCATACCTCCAAAAGAAA